AGCACAGACATTTTGAAGTAATATAAAACGCAAAGTAAACATTTTTAAAATTATTAAAGGCCATTTTCGTAACAGAAAATTTTTCAAGCGATTAAATTTGAAGCGATTATTAATAATTCATAGTTAACACCACGTCGTGTGTCTACATATTTCAATTTCTGCTGGATATTCTCGTTCAAAATATCTACCATTTACAAACATTGCCGGCCATAATTTAATATCTAAAAATAAATAATTAAATACAAAGATTGCTGAAAAATTGAAATTACTTACAGCAATCATAAAGCTTTTAGTTATTTTTAAAAGCTACTTTAAAATATACGCGCTTTTAGCGATTATAAATTAAATTCATTTTGTTTAATTGAGTAAAAATTAATTCCTACCGCAACTATTACCAGAATTTAATTGCATTAATCATAACACTGTAGAAAAAAAATATTTAATCAGAAAATCGAATTTTATTTTGTGTTTTTATTGAAAAGTCCTAAATATTTTATTGGCCAATTAATAATTAAAACATGTAAAATTTGTCAGTAATTTAATTTTTTGTTTTTGCATAAACACTTAGTACTAACCTGCTCGATGAGTATTTAGCATGGAATAATAATTTAGAACTTCGCCAGTTTGTGTCATAGCACAGTCAATTAATTTGTATCTTGTACTTTGTGATAGGCCTGTTAAGCATTTTGAAAATGCCTCATATAAATCAGACAAGCCTTGAGCACATGTCACTAAGCCCAAGTATCTCTGAGGAAAGAACTGAAAAAGTAAAATGTGCTTAACTGAAATAGTTGCCATGATGACAAAAAGATCAATCCCTTGATCTCATCAGATCAGATCAAACTTGATCCTTTTTTGTTTAGATGATATTTGATTATTTGATTTTAAATAATAAATGAAATCAAAACTGAAATATTGAGGTAATTTATTCTTGAATGATTATTCACTAAAAATAATAATGACATTATATTTCGTGACTTGCTTGGATCAGTCATAATGAGCTTATAAAGCATTTAACAAACTGGCTCGTCGCTTAAATATTTCGCTCAGTTATACATTGTCAAAAATTTCATTAATGGGCTCATTAATTTAAGTCAAAATTCCATAATGGATATCTCAATAAATTTAGCTTAATAACTCTAAATTGAATGTATGAATAGCATAAATAATTAATGTATTAGTAATCACTCACAAATTGAAACTTACTTCAATTCATTATTCAGTTATTTAAAATTTTGTAAATTTAAATGATTCTATTACATTATTTATAAAATTTTTCATATAAATCAATTTTGATTATTTATTACCAAAATTGTATAATTATGTAAATTTAATATTTTTGCAGAATTATTTATCGTGACAAAGAAGAAAGATTAAGCAGTTTCTAAAACTAACGGCAATTGCGCAGTTCTGTAATCTGTTCAAATCACATTCGTCTTGTCCGTGTTGACAATGGCAAAAGAATGTTCTATTAGAAAAATAATCACAATAACCTTTGCCAAATGGTATTATCTAAAAAATTATCCATTTAATTATTATATTATCATTCTATAATTTTATTAGATTATTAATTTTTGAATCAAAAATTTGCATTTTTGAAATTTATAAAAATTAGATTAAAATTAGCTAAATTTATTTCAAAATTTTAGAACACTTTTATTTCTTAATTTATGCAAATTTTGATTGAAAAAATTAAAATTAATGAAATGCAAAAGTTTGCAAGCTAACTTCAATGTTCATTATGCCTGGTCGTTGTACATAAAATGGCCAGATTTGTTCATGTAGCAATTTAGTACAATATTTGCATTTCGATTCCGTAAATATTGTCACGTTGACTTGCTGAGATGAAACGTTTTGATAACAACAAATGAACAGCACCAATGCTTGCAATACCTCTATTAACATTATCCTTAAGTTTATTTAATAAATAAATTTAGCAAGTCAAATAAAAAAACTTTTCAGTAAAAACCCACGTAATGTTTTATATGACAGTAATTTTAGCATAAATCCACGTAAT